CCCCAAAACCCCAAAACCCCAAAACCCCAAAACCCCGTGGGATTGTTAAGAATTTGAAATTAAAGAAAGTGAAATATATTGTAAAATTTAGAGAGTGTAAGAAAATGGATGAGTTAAGTAAATTATTCATTAATTTTGGATTAATTGGACCTTTTCAAATCCATTCTGATCCAAGAGTTTACGAGTTGTGTCCACTCAGATTTCACAATAAGCTATACCTATTTCCTTGAGACTATATTGTAAGTCTTGAGATGTTGATAATCCCTCAATGAGGTTCTTGAACTCTAGTGGTTTATTATACCAATCACTTAAGACAATCATTCCAGATCCATGAAAATTTATCTCTTGAATCTGAGTTCCTCTTAGGGCTTTAGAATAATCCAATACAGAAGGTGTAGAGAGCTTTCAGCATTTAAATAAAAATGATTTGATATGTCTGAAAGATATGATCAATCTACTCAGATGATCTCCTCTAATGTAGAACCCTCAAAATTTTACCTCATTTCATACTTTAGCACTTATTTTCATAATTCTGTGGAAAAAATTATTAATATTCAAGCTTGACTCAAATAATCCTTCCACCCAGAGACGATTCACTTTATCAGGAAATGAAGAGCTGAGAAATTTGTTCGAAAGGTTATCTTTTCCTTCAATATAACCTAAATCGAAATCTTTGGTATTTAATATAGTAAAGTTCTTGAGCTTTTTAATAAGTCAAGATACTTCATATGCTTCAAAGTCCCAGTCCAAATTTCCAATTTCAAATGAGGTTTCTGAGTCTGAATCCGGTTTCTCAATATCAAGATCTTTGGAAAGGGCGTTGTGGTAAATACTCTGTTGGATCAGACAGTCTACATACTTGCCCTGCTTTAAAAGAGCCCTTTCTAGACTAGAAGATTATTAGCATCTGAAATGTATTTTATCTGACCATTCCTGATGTTGAATGGAGTTCTGAGCTAATTCATTCTTAAAATTGTATGTGATCATTATTCTGACAAGATTAACCAAGCTGTTTAAGATGAAATCTTAGCCCAGGAGTTATTAGCACTTAAATATAATGTAGCTAGTCTTCAAAATTTGAGTTTATTTGCTTAAATAGATAGAAAATTTAGTAAATTCATTGATAGGGTATTCTTGATCAATAGTTATTCAGAAATTCTCTAAAAATCTCTCTAAAGGTCAAATAAATAGTTTCACAGTCTTTGAAAGTCAATTTCTTCCAAAATTGATTGGCCTAGAGCCTGACTCACTTCACTAGATGATTATTCGCATCCTCTTTATTAAACTTTTCCATTTTTATAAATATTATTAATTTCTTTACAACTACCAATGTTCATAACGGGGTTTTGGGGTTTTGGGGTTTTGGGG